GTAGCTGTGTAATTTCCTTTATTCCAGGTTTAGAAGTAGCTGTGTAATTTGTTTTATTCCAGGTTAAGAAGTAGTTATGTAATTTGTTTTATTCCAGGTTAAGAAGTAGTTATGTAATTTGTTTTATTCCAGGTTAAGAAGTAGCTGTGTAATTTGTTTTATTCCAGGTTTAGAAGTAGCTGTGTAATTTGTTTTATTCCAGGTTTAGAAGTAGTTATGTAATTTGTTTTATTCCAGGTTAAGAAGTAGCTGTGTATTTTGTTTTATTCCAGGTTAAGAAGTAGCTACGGAATTTGTTTTATTCCAGGTTTAGAAGTAGTTATGTAATTTGTTTTATTCCAGGTTTAGAAGTAGCTGTGTAATTTGTTTTATTCCAGGTTTAGAAGTAGTTATGTAATTTGTTTTATTCCAGGTTAAGAAGTAGCTGTGTATTTTGTTTTATTCCAGGTTAAGAAGTAGCTGTGTATTTTGTTTTATTCCAGGTTAAGAAGTAGCTACGGAATTTGTTTTATTCCAGGTTTAGAAGTAGTTATGTAATTTGTTTTAGTCCAGGTTTAGAAGTAGCTGTGTAATTTGTTTTATTCCAGGTTTAGAAGTAGTTATGTAATTTGTTTTATTCCAGGTTTAGAAGTAGCTGTGTAATTTGTTTTATTCCAGGTTTAGAAGTAGCTGTGTAATTTGTTTTATTCCAGGTTAAGAAGTAGCTGTGTAATTTGTTTTATTCCAGGTTAAGAAGTAGCTACGGAATTTGTTTTATTCCAGGTTTAGAAGTAGTTATGTTATGTGTTATTATTCTAGGTTTAGGAGTGGCTATGTTATTCGTGGGATTAGCATTCCGATTAGTAGTCACATTCTTCTCAACTTATGGAATGTCATTCAGTCTGAGAGAGAAAATATTCATCACTATTGCATGGTTTCCTAAAGCCACTGTTCAGGTAAGTGCATTGAAATTACAAGTTAAATTGTGTATTTCCAATTTCTTTTCTTTTTTGCTACGAGAGGACATATATTTCCGTATTATACCTAGTATTTTTGATCACAAATGCCTATGTAATTTATTTTCTTTCCTACCATTTCAGGCAGCTATTGGCCCCATTGCTCTAGATACAGCAATAGCGAAAGGCGCTGACGAAGATGTTATAAAAATTGCTACATCAGTAAGTACCTTCAGATCTTACAATATCTCAACTAAACCTTGGGTTTTTGATTATGATATGGTATTTGCATACTTAAGGTCCCAAAGAAGTAGGCCGTAACAACAAGTTTAATTTATTTCCATTTTTAAAAGCCTCTAAAGTCACTACACTAAATCGCCTGTCAACCCGGAAAAGATTACGAGGATTTGTATCATACCTAAATTTGCATTGTGCGTAAACGTGCTTTAAGGGGGATAACTGCATTTTTCATGAGACAGTTGTAATTCATTTAATGTCTCTTTCTTCACAGTCATCTAGATTGTAGTGGATAAAAGAATATTTTTATCTTTTCAGATTTTGACAGTGGCAGTTTTGTCTATCTTAATAACAGCACCAATTGGAGCTACGGCTATTACAACATCGGCACCATTTTTATTGAAGAAAGGTCGAGAGGACGAAGAGTTGGGTGAAGATCTCGACGATGGCGATGAAAATGAAAATATCGAAAAATCAGACATCAAAAAATCTTTACTCAAGTTGGGACAATCGAACGCAGAGATACATCAATCTGAAACTGCCAGCAAATCTGATTTGACAAATTCTAAAACTGAATTTCAAGAATCTATTGTAAACACTCAAGATAACAAATCCTAAAGATATGATTTGTACTAGTTTTCCTTTATTGTTTGTACTGCCGACTTTCAGACACTTTTTGTCTCCTCGGATTAATGTTCTATAATGTAAAAAAAACTGTTTTGTGATAGTGTTTATTTTTGCTGTAAAATTGCTCAGATGAAACTTTATGAGATGGCTAATATTATGTTGTGGTGTAAAAGTCTTAATGACATAATACCTCTAATAAAAAAAAATATTAATGTTTTTTAGGTGATTTATTTATTGGTAAAGAGACATCCCTCCGTTGTTCAAATATTTATAGTTTTAGTAGATTAAAATACAGATTCTATATTTCGTTTTTCTTTCATTGATAATATTGAATTTAATCTGATTGTATTCTTCATATTGATGTGTTCTTAGATTTAACCAATCAAATGATGGGGTTCATTAAACTATATGTGTATGCCCTGCAGATTTTAGGGCTGGGTGAAGCATTTTGTCATTGGATCAAACAGCATTAAGAAAGAGCCATTATGCAGAGTAGAGTACAGATCTGCGTTAAATGCAAATAAAGGTGAATTTATCATTTTTAATACAATCTTTACATTTGATATACTCTAAACTTACAACAAGACAATATAATTAGACCTGAAAAATATCGAACAACCAGTGACTCAACTACCAAGATTGAAACAAGTCCACTGGTCCCGAATCCTTAGGTGGCCCCACTCCTATAAAGGAGGTGAAAATATGTAAGAACAATTCCCAGAGGTTGGTTGGTTGGTAGATGACAAGTTAACGTTCGCTTCCAGCGTATGTTGATATCGCAAACTAGGTAGTTGTTGGTAGTCATAGTAGTTGGTAGTTGGATTGGTTCAAATTGAATGATTCTGTGTTGTTGGTTTGGTTGTTGATTCTTCGTTAGATCTGGTCGGTTCGAATGACATGGCGCTGAAACTCGGCCCTTGGTGGTGTGGCGTGAGTTACTCGATCTCCTTCATTCTTCCAAGTTCGTTCTGATCATGGTAATTCTTGTTGATTGGTAGTATTCCCAGAGGGGACGGCTCCCACTTATCTCATTGAGTCACTGTCAACATCAACCAAACGGAAATACTATACAATATATTCAGGTTAAATGAAGTGCTGAAAGCCATTTTTTACTTACTGGTTCCAAAAATTGGCACAGCGTCACATAAAGGGAAAGAGCCATCTAATCACCATGACTTTTCCGTAAAAAGTCAAATGCGTACGGAAGGTCATTATAATAGGCCTATATGTTACGACTTTTTCCTTTAGAAAAGCAATTGTTGTGATGCGTAGCCTAGTAAGCTTAGTTTTGACAATCTGTTTATTTGAAAAGAGAAAATGAATTGATTTTGACATTCTTGTGGAAGAAAGATAGAAAAAGAATTATATACATTTACATCAATCGATTCGATATGGTATATAATAACCACAGCACTCCTCGACCCAGCAGAAAAATTGTAATTGCTACTGCTAATATGCTATTTGTTTTGTTTTTTAACCTTCCTATTGGCGTGCTTGTTGTGTATGTTGAGAAACAATAGCTAGTGTGGCCTCTAGAGACCTGATACTACTTTTCATTATGAAATACTTACTAATTTATTATTGATAGGCCTCAAGTTTCGTTTTGTAGTTCGAATCCTGTGGTTTATTTATACGATTCGACTTCACAGAGTAGGCCCTATTTCTTCATATTAACATGTTTCAGTCCATATGAAAATCTCTTCTGTATGGAGGGAGGGGGTTCGGTGGCCGGTAGTTGGAATTTAATAGCAGCACATTGACAACTCTGGTCTTATTAGGATGCCCTGTCATTTTCTTGGATCTATTTCGAGTCTGTCTACAAGCATTGCCTATTTACATTGGAAATGAACTCAAAATGAATGCATAATATATATTTTTCTTCCGCACAAGTTACAAAGTAATGTTCTTTGTTCTCCAGAGATAGACTACAATCCACTTGTTATTTGCTTGAACAGTTTATTTAATAATGTTCATGTGATTGTTGTAGATATCTTGTAATGCGTTCTGTAGAATCATTTCGTCCAGAACGAAAGGTGTACCTGATACAAATACTGTCCATGGTGTTCTAATCCTCAAGGAATTAATTTAATTTACAGGCCCAACACTAACGTCATACAAGTGACGTCATACAAAGTTAACATCATACACTTTTACTTTTTATTACTTGAGTTCAGGGTAGGCCTATAATTATATGACGTTAAATATTTCATTGACACTCAGGGTTCAAAGGGTAATGCATTAGCTTCATTCAGTTGCTTTTACCATAAATAGCACAGTCGGTCAGAGCATTGGTTCCTTACATTACGTCATTTTCTTGGATACGTCGAGCAAATTGCTAGATCGGCGTGTGAAAGTCCGATGCCCATGGATAAGTCATATTAACATGTAATTCCAGTTAATGGGTATGTATAATCTGGGGAAGATCAATGCCATGAGGTTTGGCCAAGGACCAGCTGGTACTGGGAGTCTGAGTTGTTATCCTTGTAGGCCTAGACTTAAAATAGGCTATAGTTTCTTTCTTTCTATCCATTTTGTTGTTTCCAGTTTTCTCCAATTACTCTAGTTCATTGCATATTAGCATCACAATTATTGTAAACATAACTTTAACCTGTGCCAGTGCCTTATATTGAATGGTAACTGATTACTCTTCAATCACCCTAATCTCTATCTCATACAAGGAAGTAGGCTTATTAACCATCAACGTTGTTGTCGAAACAAGGTAGGTGTAACAATATTGACCTAATAAGCCTCTTGACAATACTGTGGTGCATCGCCGGTGCCGAGCATCAGATTATGTAGTTTATATTGTCCAATCGTCTGTGCTTATCTTACTAATGGTTCATCATTAAAGTTTATGTTTATTTTACTCTGCGGATCTATCCGCTCGTACGCTGCTCTAACCCGCCCCAAATCATAATTCAACATGGTGACTGAGTAAATTAGGATCCTGAGTGTAGAATAAGTTAACTTTTTGATGTATGTATGCCGTGTATTTCCTGAACTGATCTGTTTTCTGTCTGCAAGAGTGTATTTCTAAGCCACATTTCACGCTCTGACGTCATACATTTGCCATAGTTGTACTTGCTTTGAAGTCTGATACTGTCAACAAGTAACTGTCAATTACTTATCTGAAGTAATGGGTGACAATCCTGATAATCCTGGAGCAAATCAACAACCTGTTGAAGGAGGAAATAATAATAATGTTGCTGATCAACGTTGTCCTGTTATTAATGTATCTCCACCTGCTCAACTAATCATGGGTGATAGCCCAGTAGAAAACTGGAAACTGTATAAACAAGCCTGGTCTAACTATAAAGTTATCGCTGGACTAGAATTAAGAACTGAAGAATATAGGAAAGCTTTATTTCTTCATAATTTAGGCCGTGAAGCTCAGTTAATTTATAATTCGTTTGTATATCTGCCTACTGAAGATCAAAATAGCCTGGAGATTATTCAACGCAAATTTGATGAACATATTATAGGCATGGTCAATGAAACCTATGAACGTTATGTGTTTAACTCACGAAGTCAAGAACAGGGTGAAACATTCGATAAATATTTAGCTGCATTAAGAGGCTTGATGAAAACTTGTAATTTCTGCCAGTGTATGTCAGACAGTCTACTGAAAGACAGAATCGTATTTGGTGTGCAATCAAAGGACACAAGAAAGCACTTACTCCAACAAAATAAACTGACACTTACAAAATGTATTGATATTTGTCGAAGTCAAGAATCGTCTACTCAAAAGATGAAAAGTATATGACACAACGTCATCAGAGGTCAACAAAGTGTATGGAGGATCAAAAGTGCCAAAATGCAAACCTAAAACTTTTCCACCAAAACAAACTGAGATATATGCATCTCAACCCAGACATGCAAAGAAAGAACTTCACTGCAAATTTTGTGGTAAAACTCATGTCATGAAAAAGGAATCCTGTCCTGCTTGGGGACAAAAGTGTAAGAAATGTGATAAGCTGAATCATTTCTCTGTTAAAAGTCCTTCAAAATCTCATGGTGTTTCTGCTGTTTACTCTGACTTGTTTACTGTAACTGAAAACGTTAACACTATCAAGAGTAATCAAATTCTGCTAAACATGAGGATTGGTAAAATAGAACTATTAAATTTCAGTGTGACAGTGGATCATCTGTAAATATTATACCAAAGAAACATGTTACTGGTTTCCCTATTGATAAATGTTCTACGATTCTCAGAATGTGGAATGGAACTGAACTCAAACCTATTGGTCAATGCTGTGTACCTTTGTTTAACTTAAAAACTAACGAAAAGTACATTCATTGTAGTGAATGAGAATCTGACTCCTTTACTTGGTAAAGAAACTTCTGAAAAACTGGGTCTGATTACAGTCAACTATGATCAATTTAGTCCTGTATCTGCTGTAAAGTCTGATGAATTGATAGACCCCTTTATTGAATATTCTGATGTATTTGAAAATCGAATTGGTACTTTGCCTGGAAAAGTTCACTTCAAAATTGATGAAAGTGTAAGACCTGTTATCTTACCACCGAACCGACTACCTATAGCTCTGCAAACTGAAGTAAAAGAAAAACTGGATGAACTAGTAGAAACTGGTGTACTAGCAGTCCAAGAATCAACAACTCAATGGAACAGTAAGATGCTGGTTGCGACTAAGAAATCAGGCAGTCTTAGGGTATGTTTAGACCCCCGTCCATTGAATCAAGCTCTACTGAGAGAAAGATGTAAACTTCCTGTACTCGATGATATCTTACCTGAATTATCTGCTGGTGACAAACTGGTGAGAAGCTAAAGAGAGTCTTCTCAAAACTAGATCTGTCTAATGGTTACTGGCACTGTATTTTAGATGAAGAGTCTAGTCTGCTGACAACGTTTCAAACTCAATTTGGACGTTATAGATGGTTGAGGTTACAATTCGGAACAAACGTTAGCTCTGAGATATTTCAGAAACGTTTGAGTACTGCTTTATCAAGGTACTACGTATGAATCTGCTCGTGCTGATCACGATGAGAAATTACGATGCTTACTAGAAAGATGTAGAAATCTTCATATTCAGCTAAATAAAGACAAATGTGAACTACGGAAACATGAAATAATCTTTCTCGGACATGTTATTTCTTCTGATGGACTGAAAATAGATCCTGAAAAGGTGAAAGCTGTGACTGATATGCCGAAACCTAAAACTGCAGAAGAAGTTAGACGTTACTGTGGTTTTATAAACGATCTGTCCAAATTCTTACCAAAATTATCTGAGGTAATAGAACTTATACGTAAACTGATTCACATTGACACCGCCTGGAATTGGTCTTCTGAACAAGATCGAGCTTATGAAAAACTTAAACATATGGTTACAACTGCTCCCATATTATCTTATTATAACCCATCTGATAAACTGGTTATACAGTGTGACGATAGTCTACATGGTCTAGGTAGTGTACTGTTACAAAGTGGAAAACCTATAGCGTATGCAAGTCGCTCTCTAACTGAAACTTATGTTCGATATGCTCAAATCGAAAAGGAAATGCTTGCCATTGTGTATTCTCTTGAAAAATTCCATCAATATACATTTGGTCGACTTACTCATGTGATATCTGATCATAAACCTCTAGAGTCGATTATGAAAAAGCCTATGTCGCAAGTTCCTCGTCGTCTGC